TCCACCCACACAGATTTGCATTTTTAATTCTTTGGACAATCTACGGGCTTTACTTACAATTTCAGGTTATGTTTTGACGGTCAGTTTGGCTATCCTAGTTTAATGGAATAGTAGCCGTAAAAAGCGGCCATAGAATAAATTTGGCAACCGATCCGTGGAGCATTTCCCACTGAGGTTTACCGTCAAAGCCGTCACTCAGTTATCCATTAACCCCAAAGCGCTATCTCAGGGAGCTGGGGACCAACTTTGATTGCACATTTCAATGGAACAATGCCAACAGATAGTTGGACACGGGCATGTTTACACTCTGATATCGATTCATTGGGGAACACACGTCCGTCCGTAACCACTTTGAGTGATAAGAACTGTCCTGCGATATAGAGCACAGAGGGTATAACCATTTGGCTTATAGCACATAAAGTGCGAGAGTACAAACCCTTGTAAAAATATGCCTCCATGTATAAGGACTTTCGGTGTATTTGTCACAAACACATGTTTGCATTTTCCAATGAAAGATTTTGGCAGAGGAGGAGCGACAGAGCATAAGCGAACATTTGTGTTATTTTTAGAGTGCTTGTCGAATGAGTAATAATATAATGCAAATGTAATGAGAAAAGCATCATCAATTTCCAGTTTGAGAGAAAAGAAAATCCCCTTAAAGCACCCAACGAGCAAACGAACGAACGAACGAACAGAAACGACAAATGAAATTGTCTAGTTTGTGAGATTCTTTTTCTCGCCTATTCTAATCCTTCAGTGCATATAAATGAAATCAAATCCGAAAATTGGATTGGAAGGCAACGCCCACCCATTGTCACGACAGCTAGCACATATCCCTGGTCCGTGGCTCGCTCGGCTTCCACCCCGTATATGTATAGTCCCTTCGTACACTTAATGTGGCAGACAAATGTTCAATTGCGGTGTCGCAGGACATGCCGAAGTGAGCCCAGAACGGGATTTACATTCGGCTGCCATTGTGCTGATGCTGCTGCTGCTTCTGCTGCTGCTGCCGAGTCGAAGTGGCGTAAAGTGGCGATGCCGAAAATGTAAACAGAACCAAATAGAGATCCAATTACTTAAACGGTTAGTCCATTGTTGAATACCAAACCAAATTTGCATATTTCTTGCTTGTTTTGTTTATTTGTTTAGGCGCTGACTCGAAGACCGCGACGAAGTGCGAGTACCATTTTCAGTTTAAGGTGACCCAAAATTATTCCAATTCTATATTGAACGTTGCCACTAAGACAAAGGAAACTCAAGAGGTAGAGGATTACAAAGCGACTTTCAACGCCGACACTCCATGGTGTACAATGGCTGCGATTTGTATGGCCAAAAAGGCATCCATGTATCCATATCCACTTTGTTTTGAAATCAGGCAAAGACCCACAGGATTGTAACGCAGCTACTGGGCATAGAAATTGTATCATAAGAAAGATTTTCTTTATTTTTTTTTTTTAGAATTTTGGCACGTCATATGGGTGTAAAAAGAAAGCAAGAGATCTGGAACAAGAAGTGTTTGTTTGGCTACTCAACTCTCACATTATTTTGAAGGCTGTTGGAATGACTTTGCCATTATGCGCTCCGCTCTTGTGTCCATTCAGTAAAACATGTGGCTGGGGATTTTGAGACATGACAACGACTATCGTGGTGGTCGTCGTGTACCCAAAATACTTACCCCTGTAAGTGGTCTTTTGAAATCTTTGTCACATGTTCTACATTTTCGAATGTGTAAATCGAAGAATGAAATGAAATCCAATGCTGACAAGAGCTGCAGAAGAAAGTATTTTTATTGGACAATATTCTAAAAAAGAAACCTCCCGTTTAATGTTTGCTATTGATTCGCAAACATATTTAAAAGCACTTTGGTTTCGGAAAATGAAAGGAAAGGATGTGCCAGTCAGTCAGTCAGACTGACTGACTGTGGCTCACGCGGCCCCAGGGGGTCGGTCGGTTGGTTAAGGATGCGAACTAATGCCCCCAGGCCATATTCAGGCAACCCTCATGTCATCCCATTGTTTCGACTTGTTCTTGTGAAACAATCCCAACACGATACCCACAGCGGACAAGGAAATAAGACAACGAAAACGACAACTTGGAAGCATTCGCTATAGATTAGCTGGCCGTAGCCAGCCGATCACTGCATCACAGTTCGAGTAAACAAGTTCACAAATAAGTAACCAGCAATGGGGAGAGAGCGAGAGAGAGCAAAGAGCATTGTGTATCGTGGTGCCACATTGCGGATGAGATCAGAACCAAGAGTCAAGTCAACTAGCGCCTGCTGTGCCGGTCAAACACGGGCCTGCACTGCATGATACTCCTCGGTCGCTGTGCCAGCGGATGGGATCCCACAGATGGGATCAGCACAGGCAGGCACCGCGGCAGACAGACAGACAAAACAGTTTTTCTTCTCCCTATAATTGCACAAACAATAAATAATTATTATGTTTATTTTGACTGTCTCTGTTTCGGTTCCTGTTATGACAATCAAATTGTGGAGAACTTGCAAAAAAGTGCCAGAGGCTCGGTAGACGATGCATAGAGCAGACCCAGAAGCAAGCGCACCTTGCTGTGGTAACACCTTTATGGAAGTGCTAGAAAAGTGTCAAAAGTTATTCCTGACGTCACACAATTTGTTCCGCAAAATAAGAGCACACACACACATTGTAGCTCTTAGCTCGTATTATTCCTGGCAAATGTTTCACTATACATTGTACTTTTAGCAGCGTTAAAAGGGTTTGAGTTTGCAGTGGGATGTTTTATATATACTTACTTCTTGGTGAATGCCATTGTTTGGGCAGGACACTGTGTGAGACACGTGCCGAGGGTGCCATATTGTTACCGTTCATGTTGCTGCTGCTGCTGCTGCTGCTACTGATGCCCAACGGCCTGGCTACGCATGGGTTGGGTGTTAACACAATGATTCTATGCCTGGTTTGAAGTTTCCAAGCCCGCCCTCGCTGATGCTGCAAATGATGAGTTGTGCCTAATTCATAACCACATCGAACGAATTAACTCGCAGTATGGAACCGCCCGACAGATTTTGATAGCAGGGTGGGACATCATCTCGCACAACATGTTTAAATCCGGAGACGACTCTGATGATACACGTGTCTCAATTCGTTTGGGTGAGATACTTACAACCGAGAGAGAGACCGAGAGAGACCGGGACACCGGTACGGGGCGCCTTGAAAGTGAAATTAATTACGGTAACGAAGGGTAAGTGTCACCAACCGGATGCATGCCAAATGGAAAGCTGAGAATCTTTATTTATTGCAAAGAACAAAGTATCTGCGCCCCCAGCAAAGCAGATTATATTCCACCTCCTTCAGGCAGTCAGAATTATTCGATCGCCACGAATTTTTGGTGGATTATGTAGGCAAGACGGTAGCTAGAATGCAGTAGGAAAAGTTTCTATGAGGCAATGTATCATTAGCACTAAATATTCCATACACGTTTATGGAGTACGAGTATTTGTTAGCAGACACAGAAATATTCATTAAATTGAAATATCATACAACCCGGAGCTCGGACAAGTGTTTACACAATTCTTGAGTTTTAACTGAATACAACATAATTTACAGTCTGAGGACGGTCATAGCATCAAGTGCTGCCAGAGCCCAGAGACGCCAAAGGTTGGGGGAGAGCTTCTGCCAGCTGGCAGTATTTGCTGAAGAAACACTAATTAATATAATGAAATTCTGTATGTTGCCCAGAAAACCCACTCTACTCTGCAGAGCAGATACTTCATTTGCTTGCGTATTTGCACAGATTTTGATGTGTGTAATATATAAATTATTATATATGATGACTCGCTACTCGGATTTAATTGCAAATTACAAAGCGCAAAAATTAGTTACAAATAAATTTGTCTGCTATTATTGTTCCTAACATTTCCATTCGTCGTACAACTATTTTTATATATTTATTAAACTACATAATCGAAACATTTCTACCTTCCTACAGGCACCCCAAAAACTTTGCCCTTTGCTTTGCCCTCCCCACAGTTTGGTGCAACTTTTTGTATCAATATATTTATTATTATTTTGTTTATACCTTATCGCAATGCAAAGCCGCGGCACGTGTACAACACAAAATGTCTCTATTGAAGTTAAAAACAAATCTATGAATATATTAGAGAAATAATTAACAGTATCGGGAAGCAATAATCAAACGCGTGCGCGCCAGGACAGGCAACGGGGACGGGGACTCGCTCTAATCATTCTTATCTATTAAGGGCAAATGGAAATGTTAGGTAACCAGCGTCATTCAACAAATATTTGTCTACTTCAATCCGTCATTTGGAAGTCACATGCGTGAGAACTGTAAACAAAACTCCCTGTGGGCCAGGCACAAGTACACTCTAAATAGGAAAGTAGAAGCTGAATCACACCCCTATACTAGCCCTGTGCCGACTGTCGCGGAGGCTGGCTGGGATTTGTGCTGAACGAACTAGGACATACCAGGCTGGAAAAGTCAACGGTCGAGTCAGTGGGTGACTGACTACAAAGCGGTTTGCAGGACGCTGTGTGCCTTTTCGTGGATGTTTCATCCGCAACACGTGTCGCTTGGTCGACGCTTGACGCTTCAAGTTAAGCGTGGGCCAGTGGTAGTAGTAGATACGATACGATACGATACGAAACGATACGCAGTGTGCACACAGAAAATTCCAAGCGACGCTCACATAAAAAGCAATAAACTAAAATTAAGTCAGAAAACGTGTCAAAGTCAGTACTCACAGGCACTGACAGTGATGCAAAGACAAACACAAACAGCGAACGTTGGTCCTTGTTTACCTTAATAAAGCCAAAGCCGCTTCGTTTCTTTTGCATCGAAAAACTTTCCCAATCATTGGGCGCTCTTGTTCCTTCATAAAATATTGCAACAATCCATTTATAAGTAGATGAAAACCACCCACCGTAGCCACTAAATCATCACAAGTTGTATGATTGCAACATTTATTGAACTTCGAGTCATCTAAGCAGCAAAACATCAAACGGAAATTCACATTGCCGATCGTTAGGCAAAGCTAAAACGTCGTAAAAGTTATTATTTCTTTGCTAGGAAACATGTCTAGATTGTATCTGGACAGAGTTAATAATAATTTATTAAATATTGTCGTTTAAAACTATTCCGATTAAATATTTTTGTCATATTTATTCAAAAGCTCCTGATATGTAATGGCACACTTTAGGTCCTCACCAACATCCTTCCCATAGATCTTTTTAGCCCTATCAAAGGCTTCGATGATGCACGATCTGTCAGAGTTATCAATTATTCATACGAAAAGTTAGCAAATAAAGTTTTTTGTGACTCACCTGAATAGTTTCTGGTGTAGGACATATGCACTCACATGACCAGCATCCAAATATCGCACCTCTGCTCCCGGCCATATATCCTCGAGGCTGGAGCAGCCCTCTCGCGGCACATACGCATCCTCCTTGGCACACACGGCAATTATCAGCGAGGTGTCGAATGGTACGGAGAAGTTCTTCAGGTGCGTACACTCGTCCATCATGCCCCGCATGAACTGCAGAGCCTCGCGCTCCCACCAATTCGTTTTGGTAATGTCAATTTTATCACTTTTTTGTTGCGCCGCCAGGGGCAAAATGTACTTCATAAGGTTGGTCAATGTCGAGCTGGAGCCTTTCGTCGAAACGGGCACAATTTTTGAACTGGGTTCCTCCTTCAATGGCAATGTCAAATTTCCAGAGTCAAGTTTAATGTTTTGCAGCGACTTTGATAGGAATATCGAATTACTGCCATCTTTTGAGCTTGTATTTTTGGTTTCATAGTTATTGCCGACGGTGTCGCTGTTCAGTTCTTGGATTTTTCTAGTATCATTTATGTCCTCCTTCAGCTCGTGCAGAGATTGGTTAAAGTTCTTAATGAACCGCTGACCCGCCTCGAACGCGTCATCGATCACCGTCACCATTTTGGACAGACGCTCGCGGTACTGTCCGTCCGAGAAATACTGCATCTCGAGCATATCCCAGTTAATGGATTGACTCATGACACCCTTCAACAGCAGAGTGTGCAAGGAGGTTAACATCTGAGGGGCACAACAAATCCCATTTCACTTACAGTTGTAAACACTGCCGATGCCGTGGACCAGGATAAGCAGGGCACAAGTACCAGAGGTTTAGGCCAATTTGTAGCCGCCAAAGATGCCATCTGTAAGAAACATTCTTAAATTCTTGTATTTATTTAATAATGAGTCAACTTACGTGTCCTCCCATGGACAATCCAGTCACTCCGAGAGGCCCGAATCCATTCCTTTCACACCAATGCAGTAGTACTAGGCATTCAAGGATAAGACATCCTCCCATTACGAATATATCCGACACATTATGTAGATTAGAACGTCTATGAAAAGAGAATATGCGCATTATTAATAAAAGTTAATACAATCAATTAAAATTTCTGCCATTGCTGGGAGAGCGGTTTGCTACAAATTTGTATCTATCCTATAGTTAATATTACTTTTGATCCTCTGGTTTTCTTAACCCATAAAATGGGTTTTCCAATATGATGGATCCAATGTTGGCATCTTTGAGCAGCGGCTTCGCTATGAAATTTCTTCGCCGCCAAAAAAACTGTGGAATATAAAAATATTAATTAGAAATTAAATCAGCAACAGGTAAATTACAACTCACATGATCTCCAGTTCCAGCTAGATGTATGCATATCGGTTTATGCTGCTCGTTCTTCCAAGTGTTGGGTAACAACAGCTGAAAGTATGCGTTCCTCGAGGCCTTGGGCACAACTCCTGGTAAATGTAACTCCAGTGGAGATATGAATTTGCCCTCTATTAAGGTGCTCTCCGCATAGATTTCCTTTTTAGTTATCTCCACTGGATAGTCGCGGGGTACGAGTTTAAAGCAACTTTCTCTATTGGAGATTATTTTACGGAACTGAAATACTCTAAAAACGGGGGGTGGACCAGCATTTGTATAATTTATAATGTGTGTGTGTGTGTGTTGTGTTAAGTAGTAATCCCAGGTATATGTATATATTCCCACTTTTTCTTACAAATCATTCGCACCAGTGTCAGTGATGTGCATTATAAATATGACTTAATACTTAGTGATACGATTTGGGTCTGATTGAAGCTTAGTTGTGCACATTTTGTAACTTTTGATTGGATTATCTTTATGTAATTAGTTTCCAGAGGAGATCTTAAAAACTATTCCACTGAGAAGTCACCATGAACTGATCTTACTTAAATGTATACTCTAGGCACAGAAATATAGACATTCAAATGCTGTGTTTTCCATACCTGAACTACGAGGAAGTACTGAAGTGTTGGCATGGAGCCACTATTATTTCCTTCGTCGCTTTTTACGAACGGTAGGTACCTCACAAAGCTCTTGTTTTTCAACCGACTTTTCCTTGATAGTGTTGTTGTCGGTTCCAAAGTGCAGATCCCATATAGGCAGGATCATAACGTAGGAAAAGTCGGTGGTAAAACAATGCTTTGTGAGTGAAACTCAACTTTTACTGAAAATAGTCCAAAAACATTTTAAATTGTATTATCTCGTGCTCGGAGCCGTCACAACAATGAAGTGATCGCAAAATGATCCACAAACCGAAGATAATCCAAACAATTGTCAAATTTTGTAGTGAATCTGCATATACCGACTGCTACTAAGTACATGCCTCTACGCGTACGTTCATTTTATTAACAAAATAATATCCTCCGCCTGCGATTCGCCTATTACGTAAAGATGCTTAATTAGATACAGTTTTCAGTGTATCACTCACCTACGTAGGTTCTCAGGTTTCCCCCATCCTTTCTCGAAGAATCGAGTTATCAGCATTCGCCGATATAGGCTGTCGAGTTTACTTGGCGGCATTACGAAAGAATTTTGTTTTGCCTTTCGGCAAATTTTTATAAACAACAATATGCCAAATGGAGATGGTAGATTCGTATCGATTACGAAGTATCGATGGGAAAATGCATCAGGCAGAGATGCCAGAAATGTTGCCACATATCGGAGTACTTCTTGGAATTCCACTGTTCCAAATCGTTGGAGTGCAATCGATTAAGAGATGAAACATCGGGATGCAATATCGTATCGTCTGGCCTAATCATTAATCGAAAACTATCAGTATTAACAAAAAAAAAAATAACAAAGCAATTAAATTCGTATGCGTTGTGCCGACAAACAAATCAGTGTTTAAACCCCAAAGAGACCTTAAAATATTAATTAAATATACTTTGTTTCAACGGTTACAAGATCTGACATATGAATTTCCCCGGCTCGAAGTGAGAACTGGCGAGCCATGGCGTTGTTACTCTTCCGACGCATGTCAATGCTTTCAAATAGTATCCTCATATATATTTTCCTTTGCACAATATTTGTGCATGGATACAAAAAGCAAGGTATTACACAGTTTAAATACGCTAAAGTTGAACAAAAACACCCAAATATGTGTACAACAAAGCATTAACAAGACATTAACTGCAAAAAAATTTTGAGCGGCGCTCGCAAAAAACGTCTGGTTTTTTTTCGAGTTATTTTAACAATAAATTGTGCTGTTTAAGTGTTTGTTTGTGCCTTGGATGGGCGTACATGTATGATGCTGAACTTTCATCTATTAATTCTAGCGTTAAGCTACAATTGTACATACATATGCGTGTACATACATCGGTAACGCCCAAGATTGCCATTTTTTGTACACTGAGTACTTACCCCCATATGATGTGCAATTGGGTGGTTAGTGTACTAGCATCCGTTTAATTGAAGCGCAAGTAAATTGAAGGCAGGCGCCGTGATTTTCGACGCTGCTCCGCCTTGTCTCTGTTTCCGAAAGGCCTTTAATATGCACATCTTATTGCATACAGAAGTACCGTACGCACAGATATGTACATATGTGTGTACAGTGGTGTGGGTGACAATCTATCAATCCAGTAATCCATAGATATGAAATTCCATTAGTTAAGAGAGAAATGATTAAGAAGGTTGTCGAATTTTCATATCTTATATTTTCCTTATAGTACATTAAAGTAAGTAGTTGGCCGGCATTTAAGTGTGTGTGTTTTTTAGTGCAACAGTCTGCTATACACTCATATTTATGTATGTACATACAGATGTGCTTATTAAGTACAGGGGGCGGATATGGTGACCTGGTCCTAGAGCATGTACTGGCTGTCCGAAATTCCTATTCGGTATGGCTTTTACATACAAATGCTATTTTCTGCTAAATTAAAAGACAAGCAAGACTGCCAGACAGGCTGCAAGATTCTCGAATCCCATTAGCAAGAGAGCCCATGCCCTCGTGCAGTATGTGCAAATTGGTCACCTTCTGTTCCCTCCGTGCTGAGTGGTCATCCGGGTTATCCCCGCTCTTTCGCAGACATCAGTTTCTAGCTAATATTTGGAGCCAGCAACAGTGCAGCCAAGGCAAACGTCTTAGAAAAGCCCCTACTGAGCCCTGCCAATAAAACTAGTTGCTTCAGTATTAAGCCTTGGATTCCTAAGTTATTTTCACAAAATCAAACACTCAACCTTTTCTTTACCTATTTAAGAATGGGCTGAAATCGGGAGAAACTTCTCCTTGGAGTGTACGACGGAAGATGAAAAAGCCACCTGGATATTTGGCAACAAGACTATTGATGAAAAGACTACAAGGTAAGTAAAACAGAGAAATATTTAATATACATTTAAATACTCTCAACTAATAGCCATGCTTGAACACTAACCAATTATAAATAATTTATAACCTGCAGATTGAAAATCCAAACGATGCCCAACGCAAATGTTAGTGAAACGGAAAACAGGACTCACGCTTTTGTCAGTCGTCTGCTGTTTGCCGATGTGAATATGTCAGACGCTGGCAACTACACGTGCAAACATTCGGCAACAAATGATTCCATTGCATTTAATGTACAGACATACCTGCCAGCGAAGATTGTGCACAGCACAGCTGATAAAATAAGGAGAAAAATCGGCCAGGATGTTGTATTGTTTTGTTTGGTGGAAGTCTATCCACAAAATGAAACGATCCACAAGAATCTCAAGTGGCTGAAGGACGGCAGCACCTATGAGTTCATGGACAACTTCTCATCGATTGTAAAGCTCAATGAAACTCATCTAAACTTTACGCTGGAGTTTACTGAAGTCTACAAGAAGGAGAATGGCACGTATAAGTGTGTGGTGTATGGGAATGCTGGCACTGAGGATACTTCCAAGGAGATAAACGTATTCGTCATGGAAGTGCCACAAGTGAGCATTGATTTCGCCAAGGCTGTGGGTGCCAGCAAGATATTCCTCAATTGGACCGTAAACGACGGCAACGATCCCATCCAGAAGTACTTCATTTCCTTCTCCCAACAAGGATCACCCACATACACTTACTACAAGGATATAATTAATGGCAACAATACGTCGTACATTCTGGAATCATTCCTGCCCAACACCACCTACTCGCTGCGCATCCTTGGCAAGAACTCAATCGGTGATGGAGCACCCAACCAATATCCCGTGGCCATAACAACCCTCTCCTTTGATCCCATATTTATTCCGAAAGTGGAAACGACTGGCAGCACAGCATCCACAATAACCATAGGCTGGAGTCCGCCGCCCCAAGATATCATAGAATACATCCAATACTACGAACTGATTGTGTCCGAGTCGGGAGAGGTGCCCAAGCTGATTGAGGAGACAATTCACCAGCAAAACTCCAGGAATCTGCCCTACATGTTTGACAATCTGAAAACGGCCACAGAGTACGAGTTCAGAGTGCGTGCCTGCAGTGATCTAACCAAGACCTGTGGTCCCTGGTCGGAGGTCGTGAATGGCACCACCATGGACGGTGTGTCGACAAAGCCCACAAATCTGACCATCAACTGCCATCATCACAACAATTCCAGACTCAATTCCATATCGATAAGTTGGAATTACCCCAAGGTGCCAAATGGGAAGATTATTTCATATCTGATCACGTTAGAGGGCAACTATAGGTACACACTCGAGAGCAATGTATTCAACGAGAAGTGGGGACCAAAGATACGACGCGTGGATGAGCCACACCACAAGACTACCTATGACGGTGTTAGCCCAAACACAAACTACTCCGTGACCGTTTCGGCCATCACGCGACACAAGAAGAACGGGGAACTGGCGGGCGGACATTGTATGATGCCCGTGTCAACGCCTGATGTCGTTGGCCGCACAATGTGGTCCAAGATTAAGCATGGCTCGAAATATCTCTTGAAATTGTATCTGCCCAAAATCAGCGAACGCAACGGACCCATATGCTGCTATAGATTGTATCTGGTGAAGATAACGAACGCCAACAAGGAATTGCCAACGCCAGACAAGCTCAACATCGACACATACCATCAGGTGCACAGCGAGAATGCCACCAAGGCGTACGCCTATATAGCGGAGATGATCAGCAGCAAATACTTTAAGCCGGAGATCTTTCTGGGCGATGGAAATCGATTTGTGGAGCACGCAGAACTCATGGACAACGATGAAATATGCCGCAGGTGCTTAGAGGGCACGGCATTCCTTAGGAAATCTGAGCTGCCACAGAAAACACCAATGGGTTCCCTTTCCCGTAAGATATCCTCAGACTTTGTAGTACCCAAAATGCTAATATTTAGCTTTTTTTCTTGCAGATTCCGAATTCCGCATTTCATCGCAAAAGGAGCAATTGCTTAAAGCCGGCAACTTGACAGAAAATGCATTTAAAATATTGGAAAATAAAAAGCGCATCAGACGCAACACAATTAATCCAAACAGCGAACAGAATTCCAGCTCCAATCCGATCCAAGATGTCTTGCCAACGCCTGCGGCTGTCCATGAAATATGGGATGGCGAGATAGATATTAATGCCAATTATACAGGATTTCTGGAAATAGTCGGTAAGCGTTGCTGGCATGCCCTTTAAATGCATTCTTTCTAATTCCATTTATTATATTTTCAACAGTGCGCGACGTGAATGGTCCGCTCTTGGCATACAGCGATTATTTTGATGTAATTACGCCAGCCACAGAAGCGGAGCCAAATCATGCGATGAAGGATATGGACTACTATTTAAACATTGGCATTAAAGCGGGTGCCATACTGTTTGGCTTAATCATTGTCTTCTTTACACTATGGATATTCCATCACAATAAAACTAAAAATGCAATGCCTGGAGAGGATGCATTGACATTAAGAGATTCCTTGAGGTAAGCTACTCATTGCAGATGGAGTTTGCATAAAAACTTATATATTTCCCTCTGTCTATGATTAGAGCCTTCTTTGGACGTCGTAGCCACAATCACAGTCACTTTATTACGTCTGGAAACCACAAGGGTTTCGATACTGGACCCATACAACGATTTGAACTGGAAACTGCTTATAAAAATCGTCACAAAGACACGGATTATGGCTTCTTGCGAGAATATGAAATGCTGCCGAATCGCTTTAGCGACCGAACAACGAAAAATAGTGACATTAAGGAGAACGCATGCAAAAATAGATACCCCGACATTAAGGCCTATGATCAGACTCGCGTGAAACTGGCCACAGCCAACGGACTGCAATCAACTGATTATATTAATGCCAACTTTGTCATTGGCTATAAGGAGAGGAAGAAGTTTATCTGTGCACAGGGGCCTATGGAGAGCACCATAGATGACTTCTGGCGCATGATATGGGAACAGCATCTGGAAATTATTGTAATGCTGACCAATTTGGAGGAATATAATAAGGCAAAGTGCGCCAAGTATTGGCCTGAGAAAGTATTTGATACGAAGCAGTTTGGAGATATTTTAGTGAAATTCACACAAGAACGAAAGACTGGCGACTATGTTGTACGCACTTTGAATGTTTCGAAGAGCAACCTAATTGGCGATGAGGAAGATCGCAGAGAGATTACCCAATACCACTATTTAACGTGGAAGGATTTTATGGCACCCGAACACCCGCATGGAATTATCAA